TTGTAAAGCTCTAAACATATTTGTTACATTTATACACTTGTGATACATAAAGGTAACTGCAGTTACAGCATAATCTTCCCAATAGAGCTCTCTGAGCAGTGCTCAAATTTTAGATAAAATTTAGTCATGTTCACAGACTGAAAACTGCATTACAGGCCTAAATAATTGTCTTATGAAAGGGGCTACTTTCACATTTTTCTGTAATGCTTTTGAATATGTTAAATTCTTACTGCATAACTATGTTACATGAGAAAAAGGTCAAAGGACTCTGAAAAAATCTCATGAGAGATAAAAGACACATGAAACATTTACTGCAAGTTTTCCTATACCAGGCTGAAACAAAGCTACAAATGTTCTAAGGTTTTATCAGAAGTATCAGAGGAACAAATGTATTTAATTGTTTTAGTTTCAGTTATAATAAAAGATGGTAAGCAGTCTTACCAGCTGTGTAAAATACTGACAGCTGCCAGTGTTACACCTCAGCCTCCTAGTAATTATTGTATAAATTTAAGAATCCTAGGTGACTTCCTTCTTGAGTTACAGACCTCTGACCGTGAAGGTCCCCGAGATTCAAATTCATTTGAGGTTTTCAGTAAATGAACCTATGGCATTAATTTAAAAATCCTACGTCGCCATCTTTATCATGTTTTAAAGTTGGGTGTCCACACCTGGCAGAGTGATGACGGTACCCTGTCAGCCTTTTACAGCTGAGGATTAAAAACTGTAAAAGTGGTTGGAGACTGAAAAACTTTTATAGGACATTGAAAGCCAGCCAGTCTAATTTTAACCATGTCCACCTTCCAATGAAAAGTATCAAACACAATACATATATCTCTTTGTATGGATCATTTTTATCTTTATTAATCTGATGAAAACTGTAATTGTGAGAACAATCTATATGTGGTTTAATTAACCCAGGAATATTTACACGTCCCACATAAAGTTTGCTATCAGTGGATTTAGTGGTGGTAATGGGAACTGAACTTTCACTGATTCCTTGACTACTTACCTCTGGAGAAGGCAAATTGTGGGGATCCAGGCCTTCAAGAGGCTTTGTTAGACATTTGTCTCCCAGAATGGAGTGCAGATGTCTAGCCATAACTTTCTGCTGCTCCAGAGAGCAGTGGTTCTCCAAAGACAGGATTAGAGGGTAGGGAGAGGACTGGGATAGACACAATGTTGGAAAGTCAGTGAGAAAAGTATTTTCTGTAGACCAGAGAAAGATAAGGAAATTATCACTTGGCCTGTCAGCAAAATTGTCACTGTGGCTAATGTCGATCTATAACACACCTTCCTCTTGTGTTAGGGTTGGCACCAACCTGTTTTTAGGTTTTAAATGCATAGAAGTGCTATTTAAATTTGTTTATTGCATCAACCTTTTTTGACTTTGTCAGGAACCTCAATATAAACAAAATAAAATAAAAAATAATTTCATAAAATTACAAAATGCTTTGGCAAAAGTTATGACCTTTGTGTTGTCAGGGTCGGTTCTGACCCAGTTAAAATAATCAGTGCCAAAACTAAAATCATAAACACACTGAGCTCACTAACACTGTCGGGGAGAAGTTAGGGGCTTCTCTCTCTGTTTGTCTCCTCAGAACAAACAGCCCCTTTTATCCCTACTGCTTGATTGAAAAGGTAATCCAGATGGAAATGTATAAAAATGTAACACATGTAAAGACGTTGGTGACATGCAGAGTATATATCTCCAGTTTGCAGCATGCAAAAATGAGAAGATTTACAATAAGCCAAGCTCTGCATCATATCTTTGAATAGAATTAGGCAGAAGACACAAAACAGCATAGCAATATGGACAAGCCAGTTTCTGAGGAGCAGGATGATACAACAAAGATACATCTGATAAGTCTGATGAGGAGTTCACAGGTGCTGAAGCTTCTGTTCTGCTGAAACATACAAATCCAAAAGTGGTCACATCTCTTGGAGTGCAGTATCTCCTGGCTTGCATGGCAGGGCCACTGCTGAAAATGTCACCAAAATGACCCCTGGGATTACCAGGTGTGCCGTGACAAGAATACGTGACATCAAGACATGTTTTAATTTGTTATTGATTTCACCACTTTTCCTAAAAGTCATTATTGCTATTATGATGCTTTAAAGAAAAAACAGCCCATGGCAACATTTGGAATGTCACCGCTGGGAATACCTGGATGCTTATATTGGTGCATTATAAACACTGGCAGTTTCTGGATGCATCGCCAGGCAGAATCTTTTTCTTTTGAATGGTATTAAAAGTCCTCAGATTTGACAACAGTGGTCCTAGAGCAAAAACTGACAAGCTTGCCCATCAGAGATGTATGGGAGAGATTAGTGCATCTCCTTTCACTGATGTTCAACCCAGGGCAGAGGTGACAGTAGATGAACATTTTGTCCCTTTCATGGAAAAATGCTCTATCTGGCAACATAACACCAGCCAGCCTGGCAAAAAAGACACAGAAACCCATGCATACGTGATGCAAAAACTGCAATGCACGGAATCTACAGACTTACACAGACTAATGTGCAATTAGTATCCCTGTGAAAAATCAAGGAAAACTTCTAATCCTTAATATGATTACTGGACTG